TCTCTCCAACCTTTCCTAGGCCGACCCCACCCCGCCTTCCTTCCACCACAGACTGATCACTCTTGAAACCATTCGTTTCGCTCCATTCTTCTACATGTCCGAACCACCTCAATAACCTTCCTCAGCCCTCTGGACAACAGTTTTGGTAATCCCGCACCTCCTCCTAACTTCCAAACTACGAATTCTCTGCATTTATTTCACACCACACATTGCCCTCAGACATGACAATCTTCCTGCCTCCAGCCTTCTCGCTGCAACATTCATCACCCATGCTTCACACCATATAAGAGCTTGATAAAATATACCTTCATACATTCCCCTCTTTGCCTCCAAGGACAAAATTCTTTGTCTCCACAGACTCCTAAAGTGCACCACTCACTTCTTTTCCCCTCATCAATTCTTGATTCACCTCATCTTTCATAGACCCATCCCGTGACACGTCACTCCCAAATATCTGAATACTTTTTTACTCCTCCATACTCTCCCCCTCCAATCTGATATTCAATTTTCATCACCTAATCTTTTTGTTATCCTCATAACCTTACTTTTTCCCTGTATTCACCTTTAATTTTTTCTTTTGCACACCCTACCAAATTCACCCACCAATCTCTGCAACTTCTCTTCAAAATCTCCCAAGAGCCAGTGTCATCAGCAAAGAGCAGCTGTGACAACTCCCACTTTGTGTGTGATTCTTTATTTTTTTAATCCACGCCTCTTCCCAAGACCCTCGCATTTACTTCTCTTACAACCCCAATCTAAAAATATATTAAACAACCACGGTGACATCACACATCCTTGTCTTAGGCCTACTTTTACTGGGAAATAATTCCCTCTTTCCTACATACTCTAACTTGAGGCCTCACTATCCTCGTAAAAACTCTTCACTGCTTTCAGAAACCTACCTCCTCACCTTTACACTTGAAAACATCTCCCACATTGCCCCCCTATCCACCCTGTCATTGCCTTTTCCAAATCCATAAATGCCAAAGACCTCTTTAGCCTTATCTAAATATGTTCACTTTACATTTTTCACTGTAAACACCTGGTCCACACACCCCCTTACCTTTCCTGAAGCCCTCCTTGTTCATCTGCTATCCTATTTCTCCGTCTTACTTTTAAATTCTTTCAATAATAACTCTACCATACACTTTACCCGGTATACTCGCAGACTTATCCCCCCTATAATTTTTGCACTCTCTTTATCCCCCTTTGCCTTTATACAAAGGAACTATGCATGCTCTCTGCCAATCCTAGGTACCTTACCCTCTTCCATACATTTATTAAATATTGCACCAACAAATCCAAAACTATTCCCCCTGCTTTTAACATTTCTATCTTTTCCCTCCCAATCCCGGTGCCTTACCCCCTTTCATTTTTACCCACTGCCCCACGAACTTCCCCACACTCACAATGGCTCTTCCTCACTCCTACAAGATGTTATTCCCCCTTGTCCTATACACGAAATCACAGCTTCCCCATCTTCAATCAACATTTAACAATTCCTCAAAATATTCCCCCCATCTTCCCATTTCCTCTAACTCTCCATTTAATAACTCTCCTTCCTATTTTTAACTGGCAATCCATTTGTTCTCTAGGCTTTCTTAAACTTATTAATCTCGTCCAAAACTTTTTCTTTTTTTCAACAAAATTTGTTGATAACATCTCACCCACTCTCTCATTTGCTCTCTTTTTACATTGCTTCACCACTCTCTTAACCTCTCTCTCTTTCTCCTTTTACTCTTCCCTCCTTGCATCACTTCTACTTTGTAAAAACTTCTCATATGCTAACTTTTTCTCCCTTACTACTCTCTTTACATCATCATTCCACCAATCGCTCCTCTTCCCTCCCGCACCCACTTTCCTGTAACCACAAACTTCTGCTGAACACTCTAACACTACATTTTTAAATCTACCCATACCTCTTCGACCCCATTGCCTATGCTCTCATTAGCCCATCTATCCTCCAATAGCTGTTTATATCTTACCCTAACTGCCTCCTCTTTTAGTTTATAAACCTTCACCTCTCTCTTCCCTGATGCTTCTATTCTCCTTGTATCCCATCTACCTTTTACTCTCAGTGTAGCTACAACTAGAAAAGTGATTGATATATCTGTGGCCCCTCTATAAACATGTACATCCTGAAGTCTACTCAACAGTCTTTTATCTACCAATACATAATCCAACAAACTTCTGTCATTTCGCCCTACATCATATCTTGTATACTTATTTATCCTCTTTTTCTTAAAATATGTATTACCTATAACTAAACCCCTTTCTATACAAAGTTCAATCAAAGGGCTCCCATTTCATTTACACCTGGCACCCAAACTTACCTACCACACCTCTCTAAAAGTTTCTCCTACTTTAGCATTCATGTCCCCTACCACAATTACTCTCTCACTTGGTTCAAAGGCTCCTATACATTCACTTAACATCTCCCAAAATCTCTCTCTCTCCTCTGCATTCCTCTCTTCTCCAGGTGCTACACGCTTATTATAACCCACTTCTCGCATCCAACCTTTACTTTAATCCACATAATTCTTGAATTTACATATTCATATTCTCTTTTCTCCTTCCATAACTCATCATTCAACATTACTGCTACCCCTTCCTTTGCTCTAACTCTCTCAGATTACTCCAGATTTAATCCCATTTTATTTCCCCCCACTGAAACTCCCCTACCCCCTTCAACTTTGTTTCGCTTAGGGCCAGGACATCCAACTTCTTTTCA